GAGGGTTAAGATGAACTGGGGCCGCTGGAGGCCAGGGGGTGGGTTTAGATATGCCCCCTGGTCTGGGGGTGGGAGGGAGCTGATTTGGGAGCGGGGTGGGACTGGAGGGCAACACTGAAGGGGTTAAACAGGTTTTTGCTCCTTATGAATTTGTTTGCCTGGGCCCAGGGTTGGAGGGATTCACACTTATACCGTATGTATACAAGAATCAGATTTATAATACTTCCCCTTTTTTTGTTACGTATGAACGCTATAAACCAAATTATTTTGAAAACCGGTGCATCACCTTGTCCTTAGCAATAAAACGTGTTGAGCAGAGGATTGGCTGTGTCTGCCCCAAGGAGCCTGAGTGGCCCAGGGTCAGGCCGGGAGTGTATCTAGAGTCATAGGCTCTGGAGCAGGGCCATGCATTTTAAGAAGACTCAGTAAGGCAGGATCTAGGAAGCCCTCCTAAAGAGATGGGCTCCTTGTCAAGTTCTGGTCCTGTGGCTCTGTATGGTGGGACCTGGGAAGTAGAGGCACCTCTGGCCGTGAGTACCTCCTTTTGCTTCTCTGGCCCTAGAGAGGGGAAGGAAGAGGTGATAGATGAAGGACCAGACCACTTCCACAACTTGTAAAACTGAGTTTGATCTCTCTCATCTTGACCCCACTTGTTAACTTCATCGAGCAGGTGTAAGTTTATGCCAGTGTCCGTTCCATAAAAATTGTAGAACCAGCTTGAAAGAAGGCAGTACATTTTAGGTGCTTGAAAAGCAAGGGATTGACAACCCCTGCCCCCCACCCTGTGCGTGCTTCCCTTAGGTCCTGAAGCTGTTCTGAGTTGCCTGTAGTTGGTGAGACGCTTCCCCGGAGGAAGACCCGGTCCCTTGGACCCCCATTGGGTTCCTGAGGTCCAGGTGGACAAGGTTAGAGCAGCAGCAGCAGCAGCAGGGGTGGGAGGGGCAGTGAATTGGGCACAGCAGAGCTGTTCAGCTGGTCTTGGACAGCCAGGCACTAGGTCCTATTTCTTGGCCCCTGCCAGGTGCGGGAGAATCTTGGGTCAGCTCAGCAACTCAATGCTTCTTTGTGTCCTGGGGCTTGGGAGGTGGCTGCCACCTCTGGTGTCTGATTGTGGGGGAAGGGAGGAGCAGCAGGTCTCAAAGATACTTACTTTTCTATGCCAGTTCTCTCCTGGGGCCAAGAAAGGGAGGTTGAATTTTTTGTCCAGCACCCAAGGATTCCCAGGTGAGCGTGGACAGAGCCAGACCTTAATGGATTGGCAAGCCCTGGGAGCACACATCTTTGGAGGGAAGAAACACTTCCCCAGACTTGGCAGGGTCCCAGACCTCCCTGCATTTCACTGACCCTACCATCCCCAGCCCTGCTGAAGGACAGGCAGGGTAGTCCCTTCTGTAACCCCAGCAGAGTTCTTGCTCAACAGCTGACTATTTTTCTAGAAACTTTCACGTTTTGTTTTGGTCAAATGTAATAACCTCCTGGGAAACTGACGTTTAAAGAGGTGATGAGAGTCTCAAGTCCCACGGAACAGGCCCTCTTGCCTGCAGTCAGGCCCAGGCCTCAGCGGACTGACTGACTCCAGGGAGGCGTGCACCAGCCTGTCTTAGGCAGGCTCCCCTCAGAAGCCTTTTGGCCAGGGCAAACTGCCCTCCTTTGGTGAGGCAGCGTCTTTGGGTGGGCAACCAAGGATCACAGCCGGACAGTTCCTCCTCTCTTTCGTAAGTCCCCTCGGGGGAATTACGTTTTAAATTGTGCCCCAGTAGGGTGGGAGAAAAGCTGGGACCTCCGGAACTGAAAAGGGTAGACGAGATGGGGCGGAATGGTCCTGTGTCCGGAATAAAAAGAGGCTCTAAAGTAGTAATAAGGGCAGCCAGCGACCGCTATCCACCCAACTCCACAGGATTGAGCAGGGTCGCCCAGCCCGTGGAGGTCCACAGCCTTGTGTCTCAGCCTGCTTCCAGGCGGATGCCTGCGTCCCTCAGTGTGGAATGACCGTGAACCCCCGTCCCTCGCACGGCCGAGGAAACAGGCTCTCGAGGGCTCATCTCGGCGGACAGCGAGCCCTGCGGCCGTCAGAGGTCCGCATCCCAGACGCGCGCCCTGCGGGGCGTGAAGCCGGGGGAAGATTCCTCAAGGCGGCGGATAGGCTCCGGGGAGCCGAGGGGTGGGCGTCGGCGCGGAACCAGCAGGCCAGGCCCGCTGGACCCACGCCCTGAACCGCCAACAGCCCGAGTCCCGGCGGGCGCGCGAGGCGAACGGGCCGGAAAACTCGGGGGTCCAGTGTCTAGTGGGCCGCTTCGGACTTGCGTCCGCTCTCTGCCTGCAGTGCAGCCCCGCATTGGTCAGCCCGGCGCCCCGCCCGGCTCCCGCGCGCTGATTGGCCGCGGATGCCCAACCCCCGGTGAGGGCGCTGAGGCGGAGAGTGGGATTGGTGGTCCCGTCGTCCACGGGTCGGGGTCGCGGCCGCGCGCTCCGCCCGCCGCTGCGTCCCCACTATGGCGGCGCCCAGGCGGCCCACCGCGACTTGGGCGCCCGCCGGGGTTCCCCGCGGCTGCCGCCGCCGCATTCGCCGTCGCCCTCGCCTTCCCGGCAGCGTCGGGCCGGGCGCCGCCTACCCCCTGCCTCCCTCTCTGCTGCGGTAAGGGCCGGTCCTGCGCGCGTCGGGGCGGGCAGTCACCACGGCTAACGGGCGCCGCCGCCCCTCCCCTCCCCCGCAGCTCGCGGTCCCCGGGTTGGTGGGGTGCGGAGCCCGCGCGCGCTGGTGCTGGGGAAGGAGGGGTCGGGCGCGGCCCAGCCGTCTCCGAATAACGAAGTCCGGCTCGGAGTGGGGGCTCGGGCCGGGAGTCCGGTCCCTGGGAGACCTCGCCTGGGTAGGGGCTGCCAGGCCTCGGGGGAGAGGACGGCTGAACCCGGGCCGAGCAGTCTGAGGTCACCTGCGCGCGAGACCCCGCAGCGCTGCGCACCTTGGCGCAGAGGAAGGACCTGGTCAGGCGGGCCTTCGCTATGGGAAGAGGGAGGAAAAGTGGAAAACCTGAGTGGGAATCAGCAGCGTACGGGTAGCGGCTGTCATTGCTTATTGCTCTACCAGTCGCCAGATGTTCCGGGGACTGAGGTCAATTTTACTGACAAAGTACCCCTCTTGCTTCCTTTTCTCTGGCATTTCTCCCCATTGTTTGCCCTGTGATTTTGTTTGCAGGAGGAAATGTCTTAGTGATGAGAGCAGGTTTGATTAGGATAGTCTGCCACGAACATTTTGAATTCCTCTTTGCAACAGTGCTCGTTTTTATGATTCCTTAATAGACCTCACTTATGTTTGTGTTTCCCGCACATAGGAGGAAGGAGAGAAACGTGTGAACTGACTCAGTGCAATTAATTGAGAGAGGGACCAATGAAGGCAGCTGTTATTTTGTTTAAAACAAAAAACAAAAAAACAACAAAAACTTACAAACTTTTCTGTGGATACACTTTGAATTAACTATACTATAGCTAGTTGAACAGGAAGGTAGAAAAAAAGCACTTATTGGGTTCATGAAAATAAATAGACCGCATGGAAAATTAGGTTATTTCTAAGTCAGAATCACCTTGGAGTGATGATCATTTAACTGTTGGGTATACCTTCAAGTCAAAAGGGTTAAAAGGAAGCTGTCACAAAAATTTATGACCGAAATGGTATTTTCAAATAATCTCTTAAGGCAATAGCAGCTCCTAAGATTAAAGATTCTTAACTCAAGGATATTTTGAAGTATTAAGTGATGAATCTCCCTATTTCACATGTCTAAATGTCTAATCAGAGTTTAATAAAAGTAAATTATTAATGAGAAAAAAAGATGTGCATATTCTTAGAGACTAAGTGACTTTGGATCATCAATAAAGTGTCTGTCAAGTACATATTGTGTGCAAGGCAGTGCAACTGTGGGGACCTCACGACCTGTATTGTATGAGACTTGTTCTCATGGGCCTATGAGATGGTTGTGGGGATAAAGGGCACACAAGAAAATGATCACTAATAAAATGGTCTCTAGAATTCTAAGATAGTAGGTCTATGAAAATTCTGGAAAAGGAGAAATCCATGTGTTTGAAGAAGGTTTCACAGGAGAGGTGAGGCTTGAGTTGAGCCATGAATGGGTAGGCCTGGGTGGTGAAGAGGAAGGAGAAGTGAGGAAATGAGAAAGTGAGGATGGGAAAGGTGGCAGGGGAGAACCCAGAACTCTCATGGGTAGTTCCGGGGGGTTCTTATTAGAAAAAGTGGGAGATGAGGTTATACAAAAAAGGCAGGTTGATGGCATCAAATCAGGAAGTAACTTTGTCCTGGGTGGAGCAAAGGGTAAACAAGTAGTAGTACTTCAGATGAAACTGGAGCTAGCTATTAGAAAAATAGACAGTAGCACTTTATGTGCCCTTGTCACTTTTCTGAGTAACCTTAGCTATTTAGAATAATGGTCCTCTCAGCTACCCAGGATCTGCACCTCAAGAATCATTCTTGCCTTTCTTTTTTTTCCCCCTTGTATTAAGTTGGTTGCCAGGTCTTGTTGCTGCTACCTCCACACTATGTCTAGCTTCTTTCTGTTCCTACTGTCATCACACTGATTTGGGGCCATTGATCCCATTCCCTCGAATTACTGCAGAAACCCCCTAGCTTTCCCCCCCACCCCTTCCATCTATCCTGTGTACTGTCATCACTTGCAGGTATCTCAATTCCCCAGGCTAGACTTTTATTTATTTTTTTTGTCTGAGTTGGGCCTTTGTTGCTATGTGCGGGCTGCACACGGGCTTTCTCTAGTTGCAGTGAGCGGGGTCTACTCTTTGTTTTGGTGCGTGGGCTTCTCATTGCGGTGGCTTCTCACTGCAGAGCATGGGCTCTAGGCGCACGGGCTTCAGTAGTTGTGTCTCGCGGGCTCTAGAGCACATGCTCAGTAGTTGTGGCGCACGGGCTTAGTTGCTCCGCAGCATGTGGGATCTTCCCAGACCAGGGCTCGAACCCGTGTCCCCTGCACTGGCAGGCAGATTCTTAACCACTGTGCCACCAGGGAAGCCACAGCCTAGACTTTTAATGGCTTCCTACCGTCTGTTGAATTAAGCACAGACCAGCCTAGCCTGGGCAGTATGGGTAAACTCACTTCTTGCCATTCCCTTAGATTTTATTATATTTTCCAAGTTTGTGGAACTATTTGCTCTTTGTTGCTGTCGTGCTCTGTTGCTTTTTCTATCCTAAATGACCCCCTTGAATCTCTAATTGTTGGTTCTCACCCATGTTTCAGGGCCATTTGATTGGAACTCTCTTTGTGAAGCTTTTCTGTACTTTTCTCCCTATCTAGATGGGACTTGTTTCTCCTTCAAACCATTATAACACTAGAATCTGCCTTTTGCCCCAATTGCCAACATAAGACTGCAGCTTTTTCAAGCCATGGGCCATCTTCTTCATTATCTAGCACAGTGTTTTGTACATAGGAGGTACTTGGCAAATATATTTTATATTGAACATAGCTTTGAACCAGGATAGATGCAAAGAAAATTCTTTGTGCAAACAAAATGTCCATCATAAAGCCTGTAAATGAAGTTACTTATGTGAGATAATTTGTTACTGAGAGAGCTGGTGTATTGGTCTGGATAGCTTGGATTAGGCTTCATTAACAAAAACCCTTAAGACTTCAGTGGCTTAACAGAACAAAAGTTGACTTCTCATTCATGCCACATGTCCAGCATGACTGCACAGGTAACTCTCCTCCTCTCAGTCACTCAGGGACCCATGCTGTTGGAAACTCCATCTTAATATGGTGTTTCCATGATCATTTTGATCGAGTGGAAGATGGTGATCAAGGGACACTGGACTTTCAAGTTTCCATCCTGAAGTGGCACCTGTCTCTTTCATTTCCATATCATTGGCTAAAGCAAGTCATATGGCCATGCCTGACTTTAAAGAAGGGCAAGGAATTGCTGTCTTAGCATGTGCCTGGAAAGCAAAGAGCCAGAAGTAACTGTTGGACAGCAGTAATGACTGCTACATCTTCTTTGAGTATCATGGCCCATGGAAGATTAGAGGTAGCGAAATCAGATGGGCTACTAGAGAGAAACACATTGCCAGTAGCAAGAAATAATAGCTCTAACTAGGCGTGGAACGAGGGTGGATTGGAAGTCAGAACTCCATTACAAGCACTGTAATGCTTGTAATGTAACAGGCCGAGGCTGTTGATACGAGGGCAGTCAGTGATTTTCCAGTCATAGCACAGTCACTCCTGAGGGCATCACTATTTTACAGCACCCTCAGTGATGAACACAGAGATAGTCCTGAGGCATCCACAGAAAGTTCAATTATATTCAGGATACACAATTTAAAAAGCAAGGAAGTGTGTACTGACTCAAGGTACATTTTCACTTGAATGGTTAAAAAGGATCCTAGTTCAACCTTACTGGTTTAACTGGGTTTAATTGAGGCTATAAAACTTTGGCGCTTGGGGAGGAGATTTCGCTTTTAACAAAGAAAGTGAAACCTGGGTAGAAATCTTGCTCCTGCCATTGATTATCTAACATTGAGCAAGTGTCTGATTCTGAAGTCCGAGTTGCATCATCAGTGAAATGCGTAGGGTGGTTATGAGTTCACTTTATGTAAAGTGCTTTGCCCGGTTCCTAGTTCAAGGTAAGGACTCATGATTATGACTATCAACGTCAGCAGCAGCAGCAGCAGCAGGATTTGAAGAAACTTTGAGAAATCAGGTAAGGAAATCTCAGGATTTCCCCAGATTTTCCTACCTTTTTCCACTTCCTTGGCATCCTGTCACACCTTTCTTTCTTTTTTTTTTTTTTTTTTTTTTTTTTT